TGGGCTGGGGGAATGAAAATAAACAGCCCCTCGGAGCAGCCCCTTCCTAGCAGATACCGGATTTTCCTTCTGGTTCCTCAACCCAGGGCCATTTCCCTCCTCTTTCCTCCCCTGCTCTCAGTCAGATCCCAGGGAGGAGGCACAGGGCGGTCTCAGGGTGATGGAGGAATGAGGGGTCCAGGTCCAGGCTGTGTGACACTGGGGAACTCGCCTCCCCTCTCTGGGCTTCGGTGGGGAAAGCCCACTGAATGGAAGGCCAGGGATCAACTCAGAGGTGACTGGAACTTTTCTCCCACAGGAAAGGGTTCTTATCCCAATGACTCCCCTGTGACATAAACTTAGAATCACTCTCTCCCTTTAAAAACATGACCCCCAATTTAAGGGTCAATTTCTGGTTAGGTTCACATTACCCTGGTTTGCCTATGCCTTAGGGGGAAATTCTCAGATTCACCCCCAGGGCTAAGGATTGCTGCCCCCACCCCAACACAAAAGGACGATCCATGGTAGCCAGCAGGAAGAGATTCCTAGGGGATCAGGAGTGGCTGGGTTTGTGCTGGGCTCTGAATAATTCAGGCCAAATAACCCATTCTGGGTCCTGGCCCCACTAGGGGCTGAATTATAGGTGTTGTCTTTGGAGCTCAGCGCATGGCCTCTCCAGTCTTTTGGTTCGATGAGGATTCAACCAGTGAAACCTAGAGGGCTGTTCTCTGCCCAGTGCTCGGCTTGAAATGGGACCGTGGGCCCTGACATCCTGCACCAGAGGGGGAGCCCTAAGGGCAGGGATCCTAAGATCTCTAGGAAGAGTCTTGCTGCCTCCAGCTCCTCTAGCAGGTAGGTGGGAAGAGTCAGGGAGGGACTTAGACTTCCTCTGGACCCCTCATTTTAGATAGATGGGGTCCTGGACCCCATATGGGTGTTGCAGCTGAGACCTCACACCACTGGAGGGTAAATGAGTGTATTGGAGTGTCCTGGCCTCCTCCCACCTCTGCTTCTTCCCTCTTTTCTTTCCTTCTTTCTCTCACTCTCTCCCCCTCCCCCCTCCTCCCCTCACAAAAGCTCTCTGTACACAGCCACTTCCTCTGGCTGCTGTCTCTGAGCCCAGACCTTATGAGAACCATATGGGGGAAAGAGGCTGGAAGAGAAGGGGGTGGGGAAGCCAGTGTGGCCCCGCCTCTCCAGCCAGCATTATTCCACTCCCCTCTGGCTATGTGCATAGCAGTTGGCACACTTTGCCCCGAACTCCCCTAACTAGATCCTGGTGGCTGGGGTGGGGGCACTGGGGGGAGGGCTCAGTCGGGAGCTGGAGGTCCAGAGGGAGATCTGTGCTCAAGAGCCACTTCCCAGAGGCTGCAGCAAGTGTCTGTGAGGGGCTGCCCCTCCCCCATGGTACATCTGAAGACCACCAGACTCAGAGCAAAAGGACCCACCATGGCTAGGTGCATCCCTGTGGCAAATGCCTCTCTTCCCTATGTGGGCAGCCTACGTGGTGGGCAACGCTGCCTCAGTTGGGAGGCTGAGCGGATGAGGGTTTGTTGGCTCTGGGAGAATCTGGTGTGACCTGTCCCATGTCTGGCTCCCTCCCCACCCAGCCTTGGAATGTTCCCAGGTCAAAAGGGCCTGGGTCCTGCCAGGAAGAAGCAGGGTTTTTTTTTTACAGCAGCTTTTGTGTCCATTGGGTCCCAAGTCCAGCAAGGTGAACAGTGACTAGTCCCTGGCCTGAGAGGAATGCTAAGAGAACCTAACCAGCTAACCTTGAGGCTGCCCGTCAGCTAGCTGGGTGACTATGGGCAAGAGAGGACCTCCCCTGTCAGCCTCAGCTTGCTCAGCTGTGAAATGTAGATGTAGGGGCTGGACTTGCTGATCTCTAAGGCCCTTTTCACTGCAAACTGTCTCAGAATTTATGACACTGGCTGGTATCCTCTGAGGGGCTGCTCAGATGTCCTGGGATGTCCTCTTAGGAGATTTCCTTCTGCAGTTATCTATTACCAGTCCTCCCCTGGAATTCCTTATAGTGCCCCCTCCCCCTCACTCTAACTGCCAGAGCTGAGAACAGAGGGCAGGTCCATCAGCTGCTGCACAGGGGTGGCTGGGGGGCTCACAGGGGTCTGCATCTCCCTGTAATAAGCTGCCCTCCATGAGACCTTCCCCCATAAAGGACAGGAGCATAAGTGCCCACAGCTGTCCTGCGGGCTGGGCCTGGAGACTGGGGGTGGGACAGATGGATCAGGAAGGAAGCCAAGAGTTCTGCTTTTCTGGAAAACTTAAAATGAAAATCCATTAGAGGGGGGAGGGGGAAGCAAATCGTGGGGAGGGGGGCATGTAGTCTACAAAAACAGAAGGCAGAAGTTGAGATAACAGGGTGGAGGTGGAAGGGTTTTAGGTGAGGTAAATAGGGTTGTTCACAGCAATGCCGGGGAACCGTTTGGAGGCCTTCTCTGAGCGGAGAGGGTCTTTGCGGACAGGCACCTTATCTAGCGCTTTCTTTGCCTGAATAGCCCCAGACCCAGGGCTTGCCAGGTCTCCCAAGATGGAGTCCCACATCCCCTAAGGACCTTTGAGCGGGGTGCTGTGTGAAAGGGACAGGGTTCTGGTGGCCCATTCTGGAGGAAAGCAGGGGAGGAGGGAGGATAAAGCCAGTGCAAAACTGTTGGCTCAAGTCCTGTTGTTTGCACCAGGTGACAGGCAAAAAGGTGGACGGGGAAGTTTGTGTGGAAAAGAAAAAGAGTAGGGAGGAGGAGTTTGGGAGGGTGTGGAGGAGGCTTTCGTGCTTTTGCCTCTTGCTCTGCTGCCAGGCTGAGACTGCAGCCCCTTTCCAGGCCTCTCTTCCTTCTTCCCTCGAGATGCATGCTGGGCTAGGGATGGGTGCGTTGGAGGGACTGAGTCCAGGGAAGAGAATCCTAGCCCAGCTTCTGCTGAAGAATGTGGCTTCTTCTTTCCTTCAGAAGCCAGAATGGTGGGGTGGACAGCAATCAGGATCAGGATTATGTGAGGGGCGGGGAGGAGATGCTAAGAAATATATCTTTGGCTGGCGTTCAGTCACCCTCCAGGCTGATGGGCCAGGGGGCTCGCAAGATCCTCTGTGGCCTGCCCTGTCTGTCGTCTCTGTGGGGATGTCCAGCCAGGCTGAGGGGGCTGTTCCGTTGGAAAGTATCTGGGGATGGTTTGGGATGGGAAGGTAAAGCTAGTCATGTTTGCTGCCACCCTGTCATAATATATTCTCACCCAAAGTTGGCCCGACTCTCACCTTGGAGTGGCGTCCATGGGAATTAGCCATGGCTGGAAAGAATTAGTTGCCAAATCATTCTAAGATGTACTGCTAAACCACCTTTTTGTGTTTTCCCCATTCTTTCTGCCTTCAGCACGTTAGGATTCCCTAATCCCAACAAACAGACACTCAGAGACAGTGTCCTTCCCAGGTGTGTGAGCACAGCCACAAGATCCAGTATATAAACACCTATGGAACTGAATTGTCATGGCCCAGCAGGAAATCAGCACAGTCACTGGCCCAGCTACTCCACACTGCAAGCATTTTTCTCCTCCAGAACTGAGTGGGCTGGGGAATGCCGGGCCTGTCTGGACACTTCAACACTAGTGGACTCTCAGCAGGACCTGGAATGAATAGCCACAGCTGCCTTCTTAGGCCACGGCCATATCCCTGAGCTGCTGAGAGGTGGGAGAGAGCAGACATACTGCCTCCACCCCACTAATGCGCACACACACACAAACACACACACCCCAGCTGGAGAAAGGGCAGGCCAGCCCGCCAGCGTCAGAGGCTGACCAGTCTTGTCCTGTCAGGAAGCGGGCAGCCTCTGAACTCACCCAACCAAAGGCGTTACTGTATTGTTCTGGACACAATCGGATAGACTGAACCAGCCCCAACTCGGGCAAGGGGCGTTGGGTTGCCACTGGGGTCAGGAGGACAGAGAAAGGGAAGCAGCTTGCAGGCTGGATCCAGGACAGGAAAGGGAAAGGAAAGGGCAGAGGCGAGGGCCCGACCCTCCACTCCACACGGCGTGTGTGGAGCTCCAAGCACGTGGTCAGCGCAGGAACTCGCCTTTGGTGGGGAGGGGTCGCTAACTCTCCTGCGGTTTCGGGGACTTCAGATTCCCATCGAGGAGGCTTGGGGTCGGGTTGCCAGCAAAGTGAAGGCTTAATAAGGCCCTGGCTGGGAAGGGAAACGGGATGACGGAAGAAGGTTGGGAGGCAGCCGCTTTCCCCTCGGCCAGGTTTCTTTCTTAGCAAACTTTGCTCTAAAAAGTCAATCGAGAAAACAGCCGAAGCTAGTGTCATATCCAGGGGAGGAAAGAAGAGGGAGGAATGCAAGAACCAGCGCAGACCTCACTTGCGCGCGGCGGAAGAGGGATCCAAGAGGAATTGAGACGTCGGGGTCTCATTCAGACCAGAAGCGCCTGCACCCGAACCACAGACTCTTTCTACCCTCCCGCCCGCGCTAAGCAGACCAACCGGCTGGAAGCCGGGCTGGCAGTCTCCAGGAGCAAGTGGGGCGCCCCCCACTGGAGGAGCCTGGCCTGCTGGATGAACCCCGGAGACTCTCCCAGTCCAGCCAGGGACGCGTCCGCGGGGCTAATGACCACAGCACCTATTGGGCCGCGGGCGTGGATCTTTCCCGAGATTTCCATCCATCCCACCCACCTTAGGTTCCCGAAGTTCGCAACACAAGCCCAGGCTGGACACTCAAGGGGCGTGGGCATCCCGCCAGCTTGCATTCCCCTTCACCTGTGCAGGTGAGTGGGCGCTCGCTGACTCTCTCTGGGTCGCGCCCGCCCCCGAAGCCCCATCTTCCCTCCACACCGCTGGCGCCCTAATCTCCCTCCTAGTTCTCCAAGCCTCTCGTCTCGGCGCCCGGACTCAGGCCTGTCCCAAAGTGTCTAAAGTGGCGGCGGCGTCCCAGTCCCCCCTCTGCCCACCCCTTCCGTCTGGTCTCCTGTCGTCCTCCCGTCCGGACTCGGGCCGGGCCGGCCGAGTAGGGTACTCACAGGGTAACGGTGCCGTTAGGCAGGAGGCCGGGCTCGGGAGGCTCCGGGAGGTCCCCGCCGCCGCACACCACCCTCCTACGCGCCGGGTTGGGGGCGCCGCTGCTTAGCCCCTTGGGCCGCTCCCCAGAGCACTTGCAGCTGCGGATGGGGACGGGGCAGCCGGGCGCGCCCCGAATCTCGCGCGCCAGGAGCAGAAGCCACGGCAGCAGCGGCAGCAGCAGGCGAGCGGGCGCCCCCCGCATCCTGCATCCCCCGGCGCCCATCAGCCCATAGCCCCGCAGGGACCCACAGCGCTGGGGCCGGTCTGCGCGCGGGCCGGAGGGACCCAGGCGTGCGGGAGGCGTGTTCAGCAGGGGCCCGGGGCACTCGAGGGCGGGGCGGGGGGCCCTGGGCGGAGGCAAGCCCCGGGGTCCCCGCCGCCGCACCCCGGGGGCATGTCCGGCGAGCGCCCCGGCGGGGAGGACGCCGGCGCGGCTGTCAGAGCAGGGCAGGCGGTCCCAAGCGGTGCGGCCGGAGTCTCTGCGCGGTGCTCCCGGGCTGGTGGAGGACGGGCCCCTCCACGTCGCCTGCTCTGTCAGCGCTGGGCTGGGACCTAACGGATCGCGCCGGGCTCCTGCTGCCGCCGCCGCCGCCGCCGCTTCGTGCCATGGATGGAGGCAACTCAGCGCGGCGCAGCTCCCGCCGCCGCCAGACCCCGCCCGCCTCCCCGAGGGGGCGCCCTCCCCTCGCCGGCGCGTCCGCGAGGCCCTAGCGCCTCCCGCTACGCAGCCAGCCCGATGCCCTCCTGGGCGCGAGAGTGGGCAAGCCGGCCCGAGGCCCCGCGTGTCCTGCACCTGCCTGAACCCAGACTCCTCTCTCCCGCCCCTCTCCACAACCCATCCCAGACCTTCAAGCCCACCGCCATCACTTTCCTCAAAATCCTCCCTCCCTCGTGCGCATACAGCCAGCTCCCCATGCTTCTGGGAATTTCACTGACCTGCGGCTTGGCCAGAGATGCCTGGTGCTCCACGTTTTGGGTTGAACTTTGTTCCCCGCTCGGGGGTTGCTGAGACTCGGCTTCTCTTGGCCCCTGACCTGATGGTCAGTCTGGAAGCCGGCTCTCACTGTCACAGCCCTACTCCAGCCCTTGCAGGACACCGCCGGAGACTGAGGCGGCCCAGACCCTCCTCCGCTGCGCTGACCTTCCCAGCGGGGCGTGCATGTCGCTCCGCCAAGGAGGGGGCAAGGGCCAAGGCAGACGGACTACATCTTGCCTCTTACCTTTTCCACATCCCAGCGTGTGTCTGTGTGTGTGTGTGGAGGGGAGGGTGCGGGGTGCAAATGAGGAAAAGCAGGGATCTGTGCGGGGGTGCGGGGGTGTGGAAAGAGCACTGTACTGTGAGACAGTACAGTGAAGAGCCCCATTCTAGACAGCACTGTGTGACTTTGGACACAACCCCTAACATCCTGGGGTATGGAATCTCTGGAGTCAAAATGGGGCCCTGCCTGCCCCCTACTTTATGAATGTAAGTTGTGGCCTGGGAATTGAGTGAATGAGGGAGCACTCGGTTTCCAGAGTGAGAGGTCTGGTGGCTTTGGACATGGTTTGACCATGACAATTGGGCATGGGGGTGAAAATTGCCTTTGTCTTTGATGGACTGTAATGATGGGCCCGGGCTGGGGAGAGAGGGAAAGGGAAGTGTGGCCCACCGTGTCTGCTTCCTCAGTTTCCCCACAAAGGCTGGCTTTTCTGCCACTTAACAGAGCTTTGCTGCTGAGGGTCAGGCGGCCTGGGTTGGGGGATCCCTGGGCAGGACTCCTGTTCTTCCTTCACTGTGCCACCAAAGTGGTTGCTACAATGACCACTGCCTTCTTTCTGTTTTCTGCTGGTGTGTGTGGCACCTTTTCCAGGACGGTGGTCTTTCAGCGGGTCTCCCACCCCCCTTTGCGGGGAAGCAGCTTCTCTTCCTTACCCACTGGCATTGGCAGCAGACACAGGGCCAGACACTGGCTTCTTCACTTTCCCTCTCTGGCTCCACAAGTCTCTCCCAGTTGCAAGCTCTGGTTCCTTCAACTTCCAAAGATAAATAAATAGTGATTGCAAATGGAGGAGGAGAGAAGGCAGTGGACTCCCCCAGCAGGAGCCCTCTGCAGGCGGTGGGGGCGGGATGAGGCTGCATTCCTCAGGAAGGGTCAGGAGTGGAGTGTGTCACAGAGCCACAGGCCCAGAGGCAGGGTCTGCCGTCCCACCCTCCAGTGCCCAGGACAGGAAAACTTCAGAGAGGAGAGGAGGCCTCTGGCTTGGGTCACACAGCTTTTCTGTCAGTTCTGTTTGCTAAATGAAGAAACTCCAAGTCTGGAAAGGAATTCCCCTGCAACACCCATTCTCTGAGGCTGAGTAGAGGCCAAATGACATTTAATAAGGTTATGCTTCCTCACAGGTGAGAAGTGCTTGGTGAAGACATTTACAAAACGCTGTCCTGTCTACTGGTCATCATTTTGGGCTTCTGTTACCCACCCAGGGAGGTCAATGGGGCTGGGGTTACTTTCCCATTATGTAAGAGAGGATTTCTGGCCGGTGTGGTTGAGTGGACTGAGTGTTGTCCCTTGGGCTGAGAGGTCCCAGGACACATGCCTGGGTTGCAGGCTTGATCCCCAGTGGGGGGCGTGCAGGAGATGATCAACATGTCTCACACTGATGTTGCTCTCGCTCTCTCCCGTCCCCTCTCTCTCAAAAATCAATAAAAAATTTTTTTTAAAAAAGAGTGGAGAATAAACCTAATCACTCACTGATTGATAAAGAACTTACCTTCTGAGTTGTTTTAAAAAAATTTTACTTATTGATTTTGAGAGAGAGAAACATCAACTTGTGTTCCACTTATTTATGCCTTCATCAGTTGATTCTTTTTTTTTTTTTAAATCCTCACCCCAGGATATTTTTCCATTTTTGTTCAGATAGAGTGGGAAGGAGAGAGAGGAAGAGAGAGAAACATTGACGTGAGAGACACATCAACTGGTTGCCTCCCGCACAACCCCAATTGGTGCCAGGGACAAACCACAACCGAGGTGCGTGTCCTTGACTGGAATCGAACCTGGGACTCATTGGTCTGAGGGCTGATGCTCTAACCACTGAGAGAAACTGGCCAGGGCCATCGATTGATTCTTGGCCGAGGATCAAACACCTGGCTGAGGATGAAACCTCTGCCAGGGCTGATCCTTTTTAAGTGCTCTTTTCTCCCAGTCACTCAAAGCTTTTCTGATAGAAAGCTCTTGGTTATTTGTCCTCCGAGGTGCAGGGTAGAGTGAATGAGTGGCCTACATAAAAATCATTTTATCTTGAGGTTTGTTTGAGATAGAAGGATGACTCAAATTTAGTTCCCATCCCCAGGAAATCTAGCTAGGGAGTTTGTTCATAGTCCCTAGTGCATGATAAGCTCTTGAATGGAGTAGGGATAAGGTACCATGATAATAGGGATGAGGTTGAAGTAACCCTGTCTGAAGCAAGGTAGTGGGGCTTATCATAAGTTTTAGTCCAATCTAAGGCAGACGTGTAACACACATTACACTTCTAGACCATGATTATTCCCTTAAGGGTCTGCTATACTCCTCTCATAAAAAGCTTGCCTTTGCCAGGTACTAGCAGTGAGCCAACCTCTCTCTCTTTTAAAAATTTTAATTTTTGTTAATCCTTATCTGAGGGAGGGAGGGGGAGAGAGAGAGAAATATTGATGTGAGAGAGACACATATATTGGTTGCCTCCTGCATGAGGCCGGGGATTGAACCCACAACATGCCCTTTACTGGAATCAAACCCTCAACCCTTCAGTCCCTGGGCTATGCTCTAACATCTGAGCCAAACAGGCCAAGTTGCCAACCTCTTTTGTCCCCAACATCAATGCTGATCCATTCCCCCTTGTCAAGGTGTGGCTGGGGCCTTTTACTCCAGGATAGACCAGGCCCTCCGTTAGGAGCAGCTGAGAATGGAAATGGGGTAACAGTCACTGTCCCCTCTGTCCATCCCTGGAGCAGACCAGAGCTACCACAGGACCTGCACAAAAAGGAGGGTAACATCACTGATGTGCCAGGCAGTGTTGACTGCACTTTATTATTTTTTAAAATATTTTTTCTTTATTGATTTTAGAGAGAGAGGAAGGGAGAGGGAGAGAGATAAAAATATCGATGAGAGAACATGGATTGGCTGTCTCCTGCATGCCCCTCACTGGGGATTAGGTCCACAACATGGGCATGTGCCCTGACCGGGAATGGAACCAGTGACCTCTTGGTGCATGGGTCGACGCTCAACCATCGAGCCACACAAGCCAGGCTGTTGACTGCACTTTGTAAGAATTAGCTCAGTTAATCCTCACAACAGGGTGAAGATGACTGTTTTAACAGGGAACTGAGGTGAAGAGGTACCTTAATAGTAACTTGCCCAAGGATATACAGTGAGTAAGTAACAGAATAAGGATTTGGACTCTAAATTTTTTTTTTAATCCTCACCTGAGGACATTTTCCACTGATTTTTTAGTTAGAGTGGAAGGGAAGGAGGGAGGGAGAGAGAGAGAGAAAGAGAGAGAGAGAGAGAGAGAGAGAGAGAAAGAGAGAGACATTCATGTGAGAGAGACTCATTGACTGATTGCTTCCCGCACAATCCGACTGGGGCCGGGGATCGAACTTGCAACCCAGATACATGCCCTTGATCAGGAATCAAACCCAAGACTCTTCCGTCCATGGGCCGACACTCTAACCGCTGAGCCAAACCAGCCAGGGCTGGACTCCAGATTTTTAACTGCTTTGCTCTATAATTTCTAGGGGAGGAAAGAGACCCTCAGCAATCCCCCACCAGCTTCACTGCCCCGAAGGTTTCCTCACTCAGTTTAATTCCCTCGCCCCTCTCTGAGCTGAGCTTTTAAAGATGTCCACTTCCAAACCAGAGCTGGGAGTAGAACCAGGATCCTCTCCCCTATTCTTCCAAGAAAGTCAAGGAAGACAGAAACTTTCCGAAGGAGCCGTTACTCAGCTAGAAGAAGTGGAGGGTGAACAAGGACTATTGGGAGGTCACAGAATCAGAACACGCCCCAGCTCCAGGTCCCCTCTCCTCACCCAGCTGTCTGAGGCCCCACCCTGGATGGTCACCTTTTAATCCTTAGGTTTTCTTGCTCCCTCTGTAGTGCCTTGTTACCTTTCAGAGACAAGGTCTTAACACAGACCCAGGACAATAGTGGGTAAGATCACAGCCCATAACTGAATCAATAATGTGAATGTGACATTTCTCTAGGGCTCCATTAGCTTATAAACACAGCAGAGGCACAGAGCCTGTGACCCCCTCCTCCAGTCTCCCTCCCAGAATGGCTCTCCTAGGTAGTCTTCTGAGCACTCTGCCCCCCTCTTCCTTGTCTTGATTTATTTTTTTTATCCTCACCCAAGGACATTTTTGCATTTATCTTCAGATAGAGCTGGAGGGAGAGAGGGAGGAAGAGAGAAGAGAAACATCGATGTGAAAGAGACACATCGAGTGGCTGCCACTCACACAACCCCAACCGGGGCCAGGGACAAACTGCAACCGAGGTATGTGCCCTTAACGGGAACTGAACCTGGGACTCTCCGGTCTGCAGGCTGATGCTCTAACTGCTGAGCCAAACTGACCAGGGCCC